AGGTTGAGGGAGAGAGTGGCGAGGCACTTACCTGGCTATGGAAGACACCATCTTCATCACCTTGTTGGGCGCTGCATCTGGAAGGCCCCGGTTGGGGTAGTGCGGCACCTGGGGGAAGCTCGAGGCAGAGGCAGGCATAGCGGACCAAGCAGCAGCGGCAAAGCTGCGTTGAGTGGTCCTTTGGGCATCAGGGCCAGGCCCTCATTAGTCCGCCATAGCCTATGCTCGAGAGAGGAGGCTGAAGGAGGGAAGCCATAGCTATGGTGGACTGGTTGTTGTTGTTGTTGAGTTGAGTCAGCAGTAAGAGCGAACTTCGGATATTGATTCTGGTTCATCCATTCATTGTTATTATTATTATTGAGAGAAGAATAAGATTGGTGAAGAGAAGGAGGAGGAGGAAGGTGGAGAGAGAAGGGGGAATTGTCATTGGTCTTGATGGTGTACTTCTTCTTTACCTCTCCTCTGGTCAATATCTCTTTGCAAGTGCTTTCATTTCTTTCGCAATTGGGTGGCATTGTCTTTCATTGTGAATTTGCACTTGGGAAATGACCAGGATCGTAACAATAGTCTGGTGTCCCTATACTCTGCTGCCAACTACAGCTGTCTCCCACCCTGTTCTCTCTCTCTCTCTCTCTCTCTCTCTCTCTCTCTCTCTCTCTCTCTCTCTCTCTCTCTCTCTCCAGACACTCCCTGCCTTCTCATTGCACTCTTCCCCCAACAATTCTTTCAACTTGCATTGCTCGCCCCTTCCACCTCAACGGGGATTGCCTTCTTTTTTTTTTTTTGCTTTTATGCCACCACAAATATTAGATTATGATCGCAAGAGTGGAGCCGAGGGCGCAACGTGTTAACATCATTAAGTGCAGAAATTAAAACTTGTCATAATTATTAAAACAGTCTGAGAACTTACGTGTATACCCAACACAGAGAGATTAGAACTCAGAGAACAAAATGAAACATTCAACGCAGACAAGATGAAGAGTCAGAAAGACCCATTCAACTCTAGACGAAATTTATCATCAACAAAACAATCCATTTTCCATAATGCAGAGGCATGAGTGAAAACACAGGCCGACATCAACTTCGCGAAACCCTGGTGAGTGTGACATCAACTTTGCTAAACCCTGGTGAATGCAGTGATAAAACCAC